TGTGTGTGTGTGAATGTTAACGAGAAGTAATTATAGCAGAAAAGGACAACATACATGAAAGCCATTTAATGAACAACCTTCCAATTGGGTGAGTAGTGCCCTTCTCCATCGCAGCTGCAACAGCAAGGGCTTCTGTTTCACAAGTGGGTTTACAGCAAGCAAACTGTTTCTCCTGCCTACTCATGTGACCATGAATTGGTTCAATTGCTTTACACACAAAATCCCCAGTCGTCAAAGTGCCAGTTTTGTCAAATGCAATGCTACGACATGATGCTAGAGCATCAAGAACTTCACCGCCTTTGAGTAATATTCCCAACAAACAGAATGTGTTAACGTTCACAAGTTTTGTTATATGCATTTCCTCTACAATACAGCATATGCAGGCTTAGGAAGAGAGCTCAAGAAACAAATTCATAACTGTCATCATCACGCTTCAATTTATAAAAGAAAACTAAAAGACTGATCTAATCTGTCTCAAGAAAAGATTTTCCTAACTGAAAATCCAATATGGGTCGCTATGCTTTAGCTTTTCCTTATGGTGTGTTAAAAATGTTTAAATGAATTTTTTTATCAGCGCAGCTTTGTTTCTTGAATTGTTGCCGTCAGATGAGAGTGCTTCAGTGGATAGCTTTTCATGACAATTTTCCACCAGAGTTTAAGAGAGGAGTAGTTTATTTTTGTTATTGGATTGATTTTTTTTATATTTTAACCCAGCATACTCTTTTATTATACTCCCTCCGTCCCAAAAAAACCTCTTCACTTTCTCTTTTCATTCGTCCCAAAAAACGCTTCCACTTTCAATCAAAATCACTCTTTGTCCCCTACTAATTATTAACCTACCTATCACATCATATCTATTCACTATTAATCTACCTATCACATTATATCCTAACCTACAATAAAATAAGGGTAAAATTGGAAAGTAACACCAAAATTACACATTCATTAAATCCTACCTTTTTCCAAAGTAAAAAGTTTTATGGGACTGAAGGACTATTTCTTAATATTTGAATACATAAAACAATACCTTCTAAAATACGTCTAAACTTCCTCTATCCTAAAATAAACTATGGAGTACATGACAATTACATTTCGCAATTGGTTAGCTAGCTTTGAGATATTGTCTTTCTAGGACCACGTAGGGTCATTAAGAGCACGGATGAAATTCAAGCACACAAGAAGAGTTCCGCCTTCATGTAGAAGCACCTGCCATGGGGATGATCACAAAGAAACATGATATAATGTCATAATAATGCTTGCTCTAAAGGATAAAAATTGAAATAGAGGAAACTGATTAGAATAAAAATTTAAGGTCTTTGGTATCATTCCAAGATGTGATCAAGGGATCTTGAAACTTATAAATTTCATAAGTGATTTTGAAAACCGACAGATTATTAGTATGTTTTCAGTTATTTCATTACAGAACATCAGCAGCAACAAAGCCTAATATAATCCCATACGATTTAGGGTCTGCGGGGGCATGATACATGCAACTTGACCACTGTAACAAAGAGGTTTTATGTTAGACATTTGATGTATTGTTGCAAATTGCAATTATTACCCGAAACCTCAAGAATAAAAAAAAGGACGGTTAATGTGCCTTTTTTGGACCGCTATTTACCAAAAGCTAAAATAATGTCAATAATGATTGCTTTAGCTCCATTGGAAATGGATGCAATAAAAAAAGTTTGGCATGGTTC